CCACCAAAAGAATAAATTAGTCTTCAGAATTTTCAAATTCTCATCTCTCTGAGCCACTTAGGTTCAATTATTTTAATTAAAATTTAAATGAGATTATAGTTCCTTGTTTGGAGTTTCAGTGGTAACTGGGACTTTACAGCATTAGACAATGTCCCTTCCATATTAAAAGATTTGAGAAAGCATTTCACATCCAGGTGTTTTATACTATCCCAATACTGTTGATCTGGATTTATTTTGCTGCTTCCTCTTTAACTGCTGATTGTTCCTGGGCTTGATAAGTAATATAGCTAGAAAAATGTGCATGGTCCAGATTTCTCCAAAAGTTAAATAAATAGAAAGTCCATTGTCAAAATTAAGTTTATATAGTATAAAGCACAGTTCAGAACTGCTCTTGCTAAATACTCTTTGCTTTTCTCATTTTGTCTTTTTTGCTTTTCTCATGTTTTCACAAATTGTTTATCTTTTCCCCTATTTCCATATGTGTAGCCACTTACCTATTCCTTCATCCACTGAAAGACCTACACAGTGCTGTAACTTTTCTCAGAAGTTATAAGCTTGAACTGTGTGATATAAGCCAGCATTTAAGCAACAGGTACGGGTGTGGTTGACTTAATTAGAGCTGAGTTTTAGCTGACATGAACAAAAGAAATCAATAAGGGGTTGTATTGCGTTTACGTGGCCAGGTCTTGATAGCAGGGGACTACAGGGGTGGCTTCTCTGAGGAGCTGATAGAAGCTTCTCCCAGGTCCAACAGAGCCAATAGCCAATAGCTCCAAGATGGACCAGCTGCTGGCCAAGGCTGAGCCCACTAGTGATGGTGATAGTTCTTCTGGAATAATGCATTTAAGAAGGAGGGGGAAAAGCCCTGCAATTGCAAACAGAGCAAGGAGTGATAATATGGGAGAAAAATAGCTATGAGTACACCAAGGTATGTTAAGAAGGCGGGGCAAGAGGTGCTTCAGGCACTGGAGCAAAGGTTCCCCTGCAGCCCCTGGTGCAGACCATGGTGAAGCAACTGTGCTCCTGCAGCCCATGGAGGTTCATGATGAAGCAGAGATCCACCTGCAGCTTGTGGAGGACTCCAAGCAGGCAGATATACCTGGAGGAGGCTGTCACTCCATGGGAAGCCTGCACTGGAGCAGGCACCTGACAGGACCTGTGGCCCCATGAAGAGAGGACTGCCACTCTGCAGGGGTTTGGAGCAGGTTTGCAGGCAGGACTTGTGACCCCATGGGGGAGCAAACTTGGAGCAACCTGTTCCTGCAGGACAGCACTTTGTGGAAGAGATGCACAAAGGAGCAGTTTATGAAGAACTGCAGCCTGTGGGAAGGACTCACTGTGCAGTTTGTGAAGGACTGTCTCTAATGGGATACACAGGTTTGATTGTTGCCTGGGCAGTGTCCAGTGGTAGGAAAGCCAGGTATGAAAATTTATGTCACCTACTTAACAACAGAGAAGCATGTATTGAGGTCCCTTTCCATTTTCCTTTTTGTTTCCTTTGTGCTGTGACTCCTGACAGTGCTGACATACCCCATTTAATTTCATCATGTGAGTCTGAGTGTTGCTGTGTCCAGCATTTATTCTAATGTCTGCATGTCTGCTCTCCTGGATGAGAGGTGAAAGGAATACAATTGATTTATCTTACCTTTGAAGAGAAAGTGTCTTAAATTAGCTGCTAAATGTATCTGCCTGTTCAAGGGAGAGAAGAACCAACTTCCAAAGGTCCCCAGCTAGGATACAAATCTATTATATTCAGGTAGAGCCCTATTGTGATTACTTTAGGCACAGGTTAGGAGCTACAAGTCAGCAATTATTCACTTTGCTAGACTTGTAATGGCATTTAAGTTTCCATTCCCAAACTGTTCTGATGATAGACTAAGCTGACCTTGGAGAAGGTAAAATTGTACCTCTGAGTTTGCTACAGTTTTGAATCTAGACAGTCCCTGACTCATTGTCAATTATAACTAAACAGGGCTCACAAACTCATAATTGTCCTAACTGAAGTGAACTTCTCATGAACTGTGAGGCTCTATTCCCTTTTGAAGTATTTTGAGAACATGCCTTATGCCTGAAATTCTTCTACCTGCTGGGATCATATGGAAAGGATGATTCTGTCTTACCCACTATGCCATTGTGATTCCTGGAATAACTGCCTCCCAAAAGTAAACACAGGTTTTATGCCTAAAAGGTCTACCTAGCACACTCCAAGAGGAAATCTGCAATGCACACACAGTGTGGACTGCCATGGAAGCCAGCCCTGGGAGAGATTTGAGAACAAAGTTATTTGACACTGTGACAGTATTTTGATACTCTATATCTTCCTTGTAAAACTAGTCCTTCAGAGATAATATAGTATTTTATTAAAAAGTACAACATGAATAGAAAAACTCTTCAGGATAGTTTTAAAATGAATGTATTACTTTAATCACAGTATGATCAAAGACATGCAGTGGGAAGCTGGCCACTGTGACAGAATAACATCTTCCTGGTGTGGAAACAAGAGGAGTGCAGCCACACTTGTCATTTGTCATAGTGAGAATGTTTGACTAGTGCTGAAAATCAAAGCAAGAATTATCTGTGAACCACAACACAAAAGCACTCCACAGTAAATCCCTCATCTAGCAATTACATAGCAAGTGAGCAAGTCATGGATAACAAGAATGTCTCTACATGTCACTTCAGGGTAACACTTTAAGTTGAAGAATCCTTGGGAAATAAAGAAAGATAATCAATATGGTTATTAATGACACTAATTTCACACAAACATCTGGGAAATTAAGCATGCTCTTTAGGAGTTGTTTCTTGCAGTAAATTGTAAAGGAATGAATAAGTTGCAAGCCAAACTTCATATCAATATATTGAGTGGTGTGGTAGCAGTGATATTTATTTCAGTCAGAAAATTTTCAGAAATTAAATACTAATATAAAAATACATTGAAAATAATTTTCAAATACTTTTCTTTTTGCTGTTTTCTTGCATGCAGTTTTACCTTTACAGCTAAATACTTGGATTCTCTTGAATCTGAATATCTCAGATTTAAAATATAAAAATAAATTAAAAACTTATGGGGAAAGAGGCACTTAAGTGAAAAAGTCTATATGTTGCATTTAATATGACACATACTGAAGTAAGAGAATAAGATCTTGTCATCTTGGGAAAACTCTGCATTCTGAATGTGCAGAGGCTCATAGTACACTTCCCTTCAGGTTGAAAGTGACTTGAGGGAACACTGGTTAGCCATTGACTAGGGTCTAGCTCTTCATACTAGTGAAGCACAGATCAAATGTGCACCTAAAATTTGCATATCTTATAGGAAAATCTCCTTACCAACACAGACTAATTTTCACCAACACCAGTACTACACTGCCAACATACTTAAAGAAAAGGCAGTTTTACTCGTATGTATTGTGGATTCTATGATTGCTTAATATTCATTAAAGTGCAATCTTATAACTCATAGTAAGTGCTCAGAGTTTTCCCACTTGGCTCAGTAAGAGTTCCATAAAATATTGGTTTGTTTTATTTTTAGTTTGTTTTGAGTGGAAAATGAGTATGTTCTATGCCATTGCATGCTGTTTTGACCTGAAGAAAGTAATATCCAATATATTCATAAACTGAAATTCCATTGAGAGCTATTCATGTCCAAATGTTTAGTTGATTGTGTTTACCATTTCTAATAATTCAAACAAGCAAAAAGAAAGTGGTTGGCAAGTAGTTATTAAGAATATCTGTTATTTATAATCCATTTTGTCTAACTAGTTAACACAGTAATTATTTCTTGATTGGAAAGCTTTTTGAAGAAGAATTCCTGGAAGCTAAAGCTTGAATTTGGGCCCAAACATTAAAACAAAAATCTAATTATCTGCTACATAACTGTATGGCAATAGACCTGAAAACCTGCACCACATTTCTCATATGTTAACTGTGATTGCTGATATTTACTAATCAGTTTTCTGCCTGTAGCATTTCTATTACCTGTGAAGTGAATGGTACTGAGAAAACATGAATCAGCTTGGGAATTGTTTTAAATCAAATCTTTCAGAAACAGTGCACTTCTATAACTTAAGGATGATGAGGTAGAGACACTCCCCAAACCATTCAGTTTGGAACTGGTGTTTCTCCTGTCAGTTACTTGTATTTAAGGCCCAGCCAGGGACCTTTTCCTCTTTAATGGCTGAGAACTGCAGTCAGTGAGTTCTATTTTACTCATGCATCTCTGATTTAGAATGGAAAAGAGCAAAGCTTCAGGTAGCTTGGGTATGTGATGAGTTTGGCCTCAGGTCCTGGATCAGCTTATAAGCACTGCTGTCTTTCTTGCAAGGACAAAACAATAATAAGTTTATGTTTTTCTTCCAGTAGACTGAGCTTTTTCCTGGTTTCCTATGCCCACACGTACATATGGGTGTAGAAAACTTATAATGCTTTATAGCCTAAGAAGTATTACATGGTTGTTGACATGGGAGAAACACAGATCTTTGTAAAACTGACCTAGTTTTTACAAAACTTTCCTTTGCTCTTAGTCTTCTGGTCTTCTATTGTAGTTTGATTTCAAGAATTTTTTGTTGTTGTTGTGTTTACTCTTTGCCTTTTTTCTAATTTGAATCATTAGACTCAATTGTTTTTTACATTAAATTTGTCATGGTTTTGTTACATATAACAAAGGAGGGAATTCAACCACCTGTTCATAATTTTTTGTTGTGGCTGTGACAGCAATCTCTCAGACATTACAGAAGTAAGTCTAGTGTCACTTACTCCACCTCTTTTCCAATACAAATTAGTTTTTCCTACTCTGTCTTGAGTGGAAAAATTATGTTTCCTTCACCTTGCTCATGGACAGATACATCCAGAATTGGGTGTTATATATCTATAAATTGTCATTATCTGTTATTATATATAGGCATTCCTGTTTTGAGGCTAAATTTGGCTCTTATGCTATACAATATCTAAGGAACTGTAACTATAAATCTTACAGCAATATATACCAATTAAACCACAATGCCTTTGTGAAAATTTTTTGCTGTTCTCTTATTTATTGACAGATTTTTTTTTTTTAATTACAACACAATGAAACGATGGTAAGTACATAAGATGCAATAGTATAAAAAGCCATTTTAACCCTTCCCTTGGTTAAGACACTTACAGCAGACAAGAACTGCCCCACCCCAATTCCCCCCTTCTCAAATGAAAACGAAAAATAAATATAAATTAATAAATATAAAACAAATCACTGCACAGCCCTTAACTCTTTGATTGCCATGGCAAGAACCACAATGATGATTCTAGCGTGTGACGTTCCATGGTTAAAGGTTGCCGCAGCAGTCAAAGGGTTATAGCATTGTAAACATAAGTATTTGTTGAAAATGTTCAGTCATGTTAATGGTCTACAGCAATGAGATTATTATCATGACCCCTTGACCTTTAATGACACAACAGTATAAGGAGTTAAAGAGATTAGCTTGGTGAGCTGTTACAGAGATTAATTAACCCATTTAGTTTAACAATGCACTATGAGGTCTTGATTTACTAACAAAAGACTACTTGTGTATAATAAAACACTGTTCAATGCATTGATCAATAAAATCAATGAAAAAAATCAGTCTAAGCACCACAAAATTTTGCCTGATTATATCTGACAGTCATAATACACTTTAGCACCATTTAGTCAGCCTTGCATTTGCACACAAACAAGCTTTGTGTTTGTCAGTAGAAGCTACCTGAAGGAATAACATATGTCAGTTATAAAAAGGTTACTGTATAGAATGCTGTGTGAGCCAATAAAATAAAATAAAATAACAATAATAAAATTAAATTCAGTTGCAGAAAGCAAATAAATGCTCCAGTTATTTTGATACTAACACACATCCTAATAAGCGGAACATGGGCATGAAATGAATATGGAGCTATGCAGAGAAAAGGGAATAAAAATGAGAAATTTGTTTCACACAAGAGAAATCATCACATCCATATTCTGACTTATTTGTCAGGCTTTGAAAAATGAACAACTGTTGTGTTGTTGAAGCTAAATAGCTTGAAGATTTATGTTTAACAATATGAGTTTTAGGGTCATGTTATGCATAAAACCACTTTCAGAGCTATCCTATCAACTGCACAAACACCCTTGTCTCTGCATGAAAGGTTGATTTCCTCTTTTTCAGACATGGAGGATAAATAAACAAATCACTGGGTGGGCAGAACCAGAATTTTAGTAGCTTCTAGCTAACATATTGGAACCAGAACAATTTCTGTTGGAATTACAGGGATGAAGGAATGTCAACAATAGAAAATGGAATCAGCTGCTAAAATAACACTCAACAAGCAGAACTGAGGAGAAATCAAGTTCTGATAGATTCAAGAATACAGCACCTGGAGAGAATGTACAGTGCACGTTATAAATAAAGAGAAACGAGGATGTGTATGAAGCTTGGAAAACGATGTACCCTTCTTGTATATATCCATATCAAAGTCTAGTTGACTACAGACTGACAAAACTAGCTGCACACGCTTTAACTGCTAACAATACTACCACAGGACTGGCAAGGAGAAGACTCTGCATCCCTCAAACAGTTTCTGATCATATAGGAACACCAATAACATAAAGCAAACGTCAGAAGTCAAACAACCTTTCTCTGCGAGCTGTGTCTGAACTGGGCAATGAATTAAGACTTCAGTAGCGGATGACAGAGGGTTTTTTATATGTGATACCAAAAAATTAGGATCAACTGGAAAACAGTGCATAATAGCAAAGCAACAGTGCTAGCCTATTATGCTACAGCAGTATGGTAATTGATATAATTCATGTATGTGTATGAACTGCCTCATATTAGAGGAAGGACTCCAGCCATAAAATCCTTGTCTGAATATCCATGACACAGATTATAGGCACCAGAATGCAAAGGAGAAAGAGAACAGGTTAAAGATGAGAACTGGAACCACTGAAAAGAACACTGTTGAAATGCAGTTTTCTAGTCTGCTCACTTTTCAGAGATGTCATAAGCCATACATACAAATAGTATGCAATGTCTGGTAAAAATGGCAACAAAAGGTAGGTCTCTGCTGTTACACTATCGTACATTTGATAAGTCAAGTAGTTCCAAGATGCAAATAAAGAATCCATGATGATCAGCCCTGGCTGCACCATGCCTTTTTCATAAAAGACTAAAGGATGGCAATGTCAGTGGAAGGCAAAGGCTTCAATAATCTGCTGTAAATTATAGCTCAGTGTTGTAGTACTGGACAATGAACAAGATTCAGGGAAAGATATACATCAAGTTCCTCAAATATTTGCAGGAGATTTGAGAAGAAGATTTTTTTGTGTCTACAACGTGTCTTCATTGTAGACACAAAAACCTGCAATTCCTAGAGACAAAGTGTAAAAAGTTGTACATGCTTAAATGAGATAGACAACAAAATTGTTTTTGCTTTTTGTATAATGAACAGATCATTTCTCACTTGCCTATCAAGAAAATATAAAATTAAATATTGCCTTAATTACTAAGGAAACATGTCAAGGTGCAGTGAGAAAAGGGTATGGAGTGGAATCAGAAGTTTGACTGTATTTATCAATTTACATGTAGAAATAGAAACAGATGATCCATCCAATGGCCATAAAAGTATTTCTGTCATATCAAATACTTCAGGACTATCATGGAAATAAAGATACATGGCTGTAATATAGACTAGTAGAGGTTAAAAACTTCCTTGTCCTTCAGTAATTTATCCAGTGGAGTTCTCCAAATCATCTAATTTTTGAGAACAAACAGAAGGACATTTCACTGTGACCAGTTTTTGCACAGAGATTCAGGTTAATATTAGTTTGGCTAAATCTATCTCAAAAGATTTTGATTGTGAGATAAATAATGTGCTCTATATTACTATATATATTTGCAGTCAGGTTTAGAGCAACTATATTGAGGAGATTTTTGACTGACTGCTATCTGGTGGGTTATGACTCCAAATACAGAATTCAGTGGACTTTCTAAAGCCTAACACATATCTTTGTTGTTGGAGGCCAATAATACTTTCCAAGCTATCAACAAGTTCTTGGTAATATCTCTTTTACTGTTGATTACATGAAATTTTAGTGGTATTAGTGATTCTTGTTTCCATCTCTTTTGATAAATTGGTGTTGTACTTGCACTTATAAGTCAAAATGTTTTCATTCTTTTTCCTATTTTCTTTTGATAATCAAAAATAGAATTGTTCTTATGCTACTTTTCTTGTGTCTGTCTGTAGGCTTTGACCAAAGGACCTAGTTGGCTTTCCTGTGGGTCCTAGAAGTTGTGGTAAGAAAGTTCATGACTAGTTTAAGTTTCCTCTGAGAAAGACTTTAACAGGGTGTTAATTTAAAACTGTATTTGTCATCACTGTGATCCCAGCACTGCTATCAGTACACATTCCTCTGAAGGTGGTAGCATGTGTTAGATGGTGAAAAGGGAGGATCATGAACCTTAATCTATCCTGTAGAATGATTTTCAACCAGACACAGTAAGACAATACTGTGATTTGACAAGTGATATCCATATCTTTTGGACACACAGTAAAGAGACATTATGTGTGTGTGTATATACATATACATATACATATACATATACATATACATATACATATACATATACATATACATATACATATACACACATACATATATATATACTTGAGAATGCTTTAACTATTTGATTATGTAGAGTAAGAGCTGGGAATAGAGTATTTTCATCATGACACATTCCTTCAATGCTGGATTCCTTTTTAAGGTTAAATTTTGTTGGACTAACAATGTCAGTTATTTCTGTAAGTTGTGAGTATTGACAATGGCTTTTCTGAAAGGTCTTTTTGATTGTTTTCATCTGCCTGGTAATGCATGGCCAGAATTCATAGCACATTATCATATGAGGTAAAACACAACCATGTACCTATAAGCTGCAGCTATGCCTTGCAGGTATGAATTGTAGTTGTCATGGTCATTTAAAACAGTGCTGTATGTTGCTGATGATGTCTTCTCAATGCATGCCATCACATGTATAATTTCCTAAACTACATATTTCTATTTAAATCCAAGCTGCTTAAATCCAAGACAAACTGCTCGGAGTTGACTTCAACACAGCATTCCCATAAGATATGAAGGTGACCAGTGTGTGAGCACTGGCTATTTTGTGTCAATGGCCAAGCAAAGCATAAACAGTACGTTCTTCTCTCTTTAGAATCACTGTATGCCCAAATATGAGGCTGTGCATCTACTTGCACAGTTATCAGTTGTAAACCAGTACTTTTGAGATCTATTTAATATAATCTAATTTTAAACACTGACAAAGAGTGTTAGAAACCACCATTTTGGAAAGTGATGGAAAAAGTAATACTATAGTAAAACCTATTTTCTCTTCTTTAAGGTTGCAAAATGATAGTATGGGAATAAATTTTTTATACTCTATTAACACAATTACCTGCTGACACTAAGTACTTTTGGCTTCAACAAGGCAAATGAATTTATGCCCAGCCATGTAAGCTATGAATGTGTATGTAAACTGGGTGTTAAATACCAATACATCAGGATGGAAATATGAATTAGAAACCTTATTTTAGAACTCATCACAGAACCGTGCAAGTGGACATTCACTGATTGGCAGTTATGCTGTTCTGTTGCCAGTATGTAAGTAACACAATACTTCACTAAAAACTCTTCAAAATCCATTGTCATATTGTTAAGGACTAAGCAGGTACTTAAGGAAGTTATTTTATGTCAGCATTCTGTTACTAATCCCAGTTCCCAGAAAGCCAGTGGCTGGAATGATGGATTAGTAAATGGGTTATCCAAGACACATTCATGACACAGAATGAACAGGATTATTCCTAAGGATGGAGACAATATTCAGTATATATTTTACTGCAAGAATGAAAGGGAAAAAAAAAAAGTCATGAAAGGCTATGAATTAAGATATGCCTCTCCAAGAAGATTAAGGTTATAGTTATAAAAAGGACATGATTCAATTTCATATGGTAGAAATTACTATTAAACAGAAAACCTTGGTATATGTAGTGGGTATAATACTAATAATAATCAGTGGACAATGGTACTCTATAGAAGCAGAAGAAACTAAGCTGTGTGACTGCAAAGCTACATGCCATCATAAGTGGCTGGCATGTGTAATGATTATTGTTTGTGAAGTATTACTGTGACAGCAAGTAGCACTATGCTGCATACACATCCAAGTACAGAAAACTGTCTAGCATGTTAGTTTACATCAGCCTTTCTTCATTTACATCTTCTCTGCATCTAAAATTTATTTCATCTATTCTGTTGGTAGACCAGAGCAATACTTAAGGACATCTCTGCAAAGCCAACATGCTTTATGGACACCACTCAAAGAATGACATCTATTGAAGACAAAATGGGCAGCTGCAATTCCAAACGTTAATTAACTGACCATAATTTTTAGATTATATGCTAAAACGTTTGCATACTGGGAAAGAAGGCCTGTTTATAATGCATGCATTCAATGCTGTCTACATCCTTCCTTGAAATACATTTTGATTTGAGGAACAGATGCTTGCTGTGCTCACACACTGATGATCCCTCAAAATATGATCTTCTGATTATTATTGGGAATTCCTACTTATATACATACATATATCAAATAATTCCATATCATAAAAAAAATCTATGCTGCTTAATATTAGAGGCTACCTTAGATCAGGCCTCAAATGGAGCCAGTTTGCAACAAGTGATGGTATGCTTTTGATGTTTACCAGATATTTTCAGCATTGATGGCACTGATGACAATGTCTTTCTCCATCAGCCTCTAACATCTCAGATGGCAAACCACAAGAATGGGTTAGACAGATTTGACTCACACATAATATATTTTTCATGAGACTAGTGGCAGACAATCCATTTAATTACATGCATATATCAGAGATTAATTTTATGAGCACATGGTTCATTTACACCCAATTTTGTAACTGACATATGTTTAAATGGTCTTATCTCATGAGAACCACTCTGTTCGTCTGCAGTCTGTGTAGTGGGAGCTAAGGAAGTATGCCTAACATTACAGTGCTGGAGTATCACAAGTATACCATTGTATTCAATAACAGGTTATCTGTTCCTTACAGCATAGCTGGACACCAAAGTGGCCACTGACATTTGTTTCCTCAGCTGAGAGTAATGATTTCCCTTATAGCTCATACACCTGCAGTCATCTATTTATACTTCTGGAAACAGGTGTCCAGAGACAGTCTTGACAACAGCAAAAGGCAAACCAGGAGGTACTGTTCTGTAAAGGCTGCTTCACGTCTCCCACAGCTATAGTGCATGGCTTCCTTCAGCTCTGCAATAGGTGGTGAAACTTCAGCTATGTTGTAAGGAAATATGGGAGCCAGGACGGGGCAAGCCCCTGCAGTCATACCTTGCTCCTCCACCCAGTCATCTCATGTTCTTTCCAAAGTAGGCTGCTAATGGTGTGTTAGCTTGCATTTCTACTTCGTTAAAAACCCAGTGCCTGGAACATTCACTGTTCAGTTTACTATGTGTGTGTTTTACGATTTGTCCTAACAAAGGTACAAACACAAAAAAAAATAAAAATGGAATGTAGTACTTCCATTGCTAATAGGCAGACCAACTTCCTAGACTATGCACTTTTTTCTAACCAACAAGCTAGAATTAGATTCTATATAATTTGGTACCAAAAGCTACATTTAACTGACATTTAGATTGTAAAGTAAGAACCCCCATAAAAGTTCAAAATTCAAACATTAAGCCTTACACTCCGTTCTTAACCCACAGTCCTAATGGCACAGGAGTCTTGATCAAGCAACTGGGGATGTGAAGTATGCTTCTAGGAAAAAGTGTAAGTCTGCCCCTTATGTTTGGATCTATTAGCTTATGTTATTTTAATTCAAAAAATTAGCCTTAAAAAATCTTTTTCTTTAATTATCCCCTCCCTTTTCCCATTTTGAAAGAAGAAAAAGAACAAAAGTTCATAGGAATATATAAAATATGTATTACATTTATTCAGGAGACTTGAAAGGGCTCCTTTGGAGCCATTTGAGTCTCTCCATCCCAGCCTATCCAGTAAATATACAGTTACATATTTTTAATTTTTTTTTGATAAAAATTATTTTTTTTCTACAGTCAATAACCTTTTCATAGGTTTAGATATTGAAAGGCCAAAGGAAACACCACTAGAATCTGCTCTGGCCCTCTGCATACTATCGTACGGACCATAGTACTCTGAAGATACATGACCTTGTGTAGTCAGCTTGATAGACTGGAGCTGATTAACACAACACTATTCAGTTTTGTATTGTTCCAAAATACAGATCATGACAATAGCAATATGGAAATGTTTATTAAAAAAGTCACGGCACATGAGCAGGAACCCAGATTGCAGACCTGAAAATATTTTCAATTTGCTTTTACTTAATTAAAATTGTTATAGGCCCTTGTAGAGAAACAACTATTCAAAAAACCAAAAATTGTCTTAGAACTTTTACTAATTTGAGTTCAAAATTAGACCAGGCAACATCACTAATTTACTCTGAAATTCTGTAATTTGAAACTAGCCAATATGTATTTGGAAATTACAGTGAACACAAATGCTCCTACATCTTTTACTTAAAGCAAACCTTTATGACTGCGTTGCAACCTACTGAAAACATGAGAATGTAACAGAAATGTTGACACAATCTTGCTTTGCATGACATAAACATGCCAATATAATTTTTTTTGTCCCTCTCTCTGTATATAGCACATATGTACTTTTAAGTAAAAGAAAATAGATTAAACAATCAACTTATCATGTATTCATGTAACTACCATGTACAATATACCAAGCACTAGAATTATCACACTTACCTTCCTGCATAATTACAGTTAAATTCTCCAAACACAAATATTTTTGTTACCTTATCAAAGAACAACAGTCAACATGCTCAGCACTTCATTACTGTCAGGGAAATGGTTGCAGAAAAAGTTAAAGCTGCCATGAAAGATATTTCAAAACTGAAATGAAATTTTCAAGTGAATAAAAAAACCTCATGAGATGCTGTTCTGACTGAAAAAAAAAAATAATCCCCTACTGTAGAGGGAAAGCAAATACAGATTAAGTAGTTCTCTTATTATTTTCCTCCAACTATCCAAGGGAAAAAATTTGGAACAGCAAAACCAATAATTTTGTTCTGTTTATAGCAGAATATAAGTTAAGTAGTTTGTTGATAATAAAAATTTCTCAATGAATTAAAATATGCATGTCTATGTATGTGTGTGTTTGTGTGCTTTTGTAAGTATACAAACACACATCTTAATACATATGACAAACAACACAGAATATCAAATTCACCAAATGAGCTGATCTGCAGCAAAAATCCTGTGCAACTAAATTGTCAATAAATCTACATTTTCAGCAACAACTGACTTGGATTTACTAAATAATGCTATGGGCTGATACTGGTGAGCTTCTAACCCTACAGTATGCTGTACTTCTACAAAACATCTCCAAAATGCCATCTGCATTGCATATTTGTTGTAAAACTATATCTTTTTTCTAATCTTCATTTTTGTTATCCATACATATGTATATCTGTTTATGCTCTAAGAAATAAGTTTGCAATGCTTTATAGCATGCCACATATGTTCATAAGTTCTCAAATCAATATAAAATCATGTAATTGAAAAAAAGGCATACTATTTTTCATGCTATGCTCAATATAAATATAAATTCAAGGCAGTCAAGCTATCCATTACCAAAACAATAATAATCATAATATATATGCATATATACCTACACTCTCTAAAAAGTGATCCAGTTATGTGGATTAAGAAACCAGTAAGAAATTGGTTGAATGTAGTATAAAAGTCTCATTTCATGTAAAAGCCCATACTGGCCATTTCAAGTATTTTAATACTTTCCTATAACCTTTTCATTAATAACTAGATATTTGTAGAAATAAAAATTTTATACTGAAAATTGTATTCAAGTTAAATAAAAATCAACTTCTGCTGTAATTCATTTTTAGAGTGTGCATGTATACATAGCAAAATACCCTTCTACAGACCTATCATAAATATTTTAGTCTATGTCATTTCTCTCCTACTAAAACACTTCAATTTTTTTCCTCAAATTTTGGATCATGTCTATCAGGCCTTTCAAGATATAAAACTCATCTAAGTTCATTTGCAACACCAGATTCCCTTCAGTTTGTGCCAGTTTGCAAGTTAAAGGTCAAAGACATAGGACAGTACACTTTAAGGAAATTCAGACAGTGAAGCTGTTCACAGAAGACAATGTTTAACTTGGTAATGACAGTCAACAGGTCAATAATCAAGTTCAAGGCAAGCTGTTCATTGTTGCAAAAGCTACTCCCCTCAAAACCTGGCTTTCATAAAAAACCAGGTGTCTGACTTTTGGGGTGCATCATTCTGACCATCTTTAATAAGTTCACAGCCCAGTGACTGTAAAGCCTATCACTGCAAGAAGCAGCTCCTAAAATCAATAAAGAGGTCTGTCAGTTGCTGACTTTTCTCTAGGAAAAAATTATTGATACAAACCTGCTCTGCAGGTCACATGAAAATGACAATACTGCTGTTAGCACAAATTACACAGAATGACAAAATGTTTTGGTGGTTCCTTGGCTCTGTCAGTTCATACCATGTTCGACTGAAGGCCAGAAATTTTAACCCTTTGAGAACTATTATGAACATGCAAAGGGGTAAACACACCATAGGATACTCATGCACTATCAGAGTCATCTTCTTAGCTTTCTTTTAAAACTGTAACTCTGCCTCTGCAGAGGCAAATAGAATTGTCATGCAACACAGTCTCAAGAGAGAAATCCAAGATGTTTAAGATAAGAGGCTAAGCTATAAAATTGTTGACAGTTCAGAAAAATTCTTGGTAAGTGGTAGAAATTATTAAAATATGTTTGGTTCGTTTAACAAGAAAGTAGCTGGTAAATATATTTTGTTTTCTATTCATGTTACAAATGCTTTTCTATCAATAATGCAAATAATTTAAAATGTAGTCACAAGAAATCTGATTTTCTTTTGAAACCTGTATTACCCAAACACAATTCTATAATTTAATGATGACCAAGATTAACATCCACCAGACTCTGAAAACTGGATGCAATAGTTCTCAAAGGGTTACACCACCGATATAATACCAGTGTCAAGTCTCTTATTAGCACGTCTGTTGTTTTAGTTCATTGAAATCCACTTCAGAGACACACTGCTTTTTACCATTCTTTGGAATGAGTGCTCCTGACAGACCTATAAAAGGCCTGGGGTAGTTGGCTTGGTACAGCTTGGGAAAGATAATGTAGGAAAACCAACCAGAAATCAAACCAACCAATAAAAAGGTTCTGCTTGAATATAGTATTGAATATGAGTTTAAAACATTGAGGACATAGCCCAGAGCAGCTGTAAAAAACACAAAATGAATGTATTAAGGCTGTTACTATATTGCAGATATTTTGGCCCCTTGTTTGTTGGAAAATGGCTGTCCAAACAGTCTGAAGTCCTGCGTGTCATCCGAGTCTCCCACCTGACAAAACTGGAAGTAGGAGTATAGGACTTTATCCGTAGCAGACAGAAAGCAATCCTCTTTGGAGACAAAGCTGTTTTGGGTCTTCTCACTTTCCTGAAAGTTCCATTGTTGGTTGTTGTGTTTCTCTACAAAAATTTACTTTCAGCAAAAAATTCTTCGAAGGGGAACAGGCCTTAAGGGAAAAATGTAGAAACATTGGAGATATTTTTATTCCTCTTTGTTAGTTAATCCTGATCGTTTATAGGGCATTGAGCGTGCAGAGGGAAGGCCTAGAATTGAATGACAAAGAAAGACAAAGGACTGAAGAAACAGCAGATACTGTGTATCATGGAAGCTTCCCAGCTGAGCGAATCGCCACTCATGCGCAGGACAGGCAACCCCCTGGGTTTTAAAGATCAGCTTTGTTTCAGACTGACAGATGCCTGCTCCTAGCTAGGAAACTGCATAACAGCTCTTGTGTTGAATCTCAAGTTACCACAAACTCCTGGGAGGGAAAGAGAAAATAACAAAACCCTACATCACACCCACTCTTGCATAGAGCGTTTGCAGTACAGTATGTGGCGGGGTGTTCCTTTCCTTTTGAACTGGAACACAGTGTAAACCAAGACAAGGAGGCACAAGGCCAGGATGCAAGGAATGACGATGGCTATGGCTTTCACAGTGCTGGCTGTGTTGTCCAGTTTGATGACAATGTCAACATCATCTTGAGGGCTGTGTCGGTCTTTATCTCGGTCTGTTGGTCCATCACAACCCATAAAATCCTTGAGGATGGATCTGGGATAGCCAGGTTCCACCCTGAGCATCTGGTTATTGAATTTCCAGTACTCTTTTCCTTTGTAGAAATATGTGAAGCCTGGGGAAGAAAGTAGCAATTATTCCTGGTCATATGAACTCATGTCATCAATATACTTTTATGGAAATTTTAAAGTTTAAACTTTTCTGCCATTTTTGCTGAGGTAGGAACCAGGATAATAGTCAGTTACAGCTGAAAGGTGGAAACTACCAGCAGAGAAGGACAATTCTAAGAGACTGAGAAGTTTTACTGCTTCTCCTGACAGAGCAAATGACTTCATACAATTGTTGAAAGTGATTTCATCTAATCTGCTAGATGTGTTAAACCTGATTTGAGAGCTGTTCCTTACAATTTCCTAGGTACTACTCACTGAGCTGAGCAGTGAGTGCCATACCTGACAAAAACAGCACTGAAGGGCTTAGCAGTCACTGCTACCTCAAATGTACTTATGTAGCAGGTATAAGGCAAAATAGGCCAGTGGACTAATAAAGCAGACAACCTTTCTCTTTCTTCTACCTAAAAATTGCCCCATCATCCATTTCAGCAGAATTTCTAGCTGGAAAGTTAAATTTTCTGTGTTGCTCTCAAGGTACAAAGAAAGATTTCTCCAGTTTGGAGAACTTTGTGTGATCTTAGATTCCGTGTATCAAAAGAAAGGAAATTTCTTTTCCACCCCCTTCTAAGAGTTTCCACCACAGTGTTAGAAAACAAATCACAAAATGGGAAGTAGCAGGGCAAATTTCAAAGGTGTTACCTGTACCAGTAACTTAATTAGCTTTTAGGATACTGACTCGGGACACTGACTAGAGTAAGAAATTGGTTTTTCTCATCCTTTCCAAAACTCTTAATGCACAACTACCAATAATTTTTGCCATTACCGAAGGAAACACCTGCATGAACAGAGTTATTGTAGGTGCTCATTTGCATAGTTTGCACAACAAACAGGTAAAAGAAGGAAAAAAAAATCTTTAAAATAAAATTAATTCTCTGAAAGACATGCTTTCAGATGTTTCCTTATGAAAGCTTATAGTGAAAGTTCTTTATCAACTCTGCTTCTGTCCAGAGAAATAAAAGCAGTTTCAGGCAAAATGGAATCAACTTCTTTCCAACTGACCTGTGGTATTTCTTTTTATTTTCATCTGCTTTTGTTTCTTTCTCTCTTCATACAAACAACAGCAAAGTTGTGAACTGTTTCTTAAGATGTTATTTTCATGATTTCAGGGAAAATGTCTCAGTGGTCTTCTCAGGAAATTTATGGTGTCATGTTCAGTCCCTTTTTCTACCCTGGAGCCCTTATAGCATTTTTGAAATGCTCAAGAATTCCCTCTTTCCTTTCACCTCCTCTGCAACCTCATGTCATGTTTTACTAATCTTCTCATCCAAAGAGTCCAGCAGACTATCAAAACTACTGGGGTTGGAAAGACAAGAGCCTTTTTTATGATCAAAGGTTTTTCAAGCTTTAGGAATAGTTGCTCTGCTTCTGCAGTTCTTTCAAACTCACTGGTCTGGGTTTTAGAGTAAGATAATTTTTGTTCTTAATGAGAGGCACATGTACCTGAGCTCAGTACAAAATATATATATTTATATATATAAAAATATATTTGTATACACAAATATGTGTATATACGTATATTTATGCACAGATATAGATAGATGATAGATACACAGACACAGATATATATATATACATACATGTATATATATTTCTATAACCTTTGTGACTATTTCCACATATATATATATACTTCAAAACAGTTAATTATTGAGTGTAATGTATGCAGAATATCATCTTGAATGACCTACTTTCCAGTCAAAAGCAACACAAAAAATCCAGTCTAGCAAAAAGGCAAAAATACTGACAGGATTTCTTCTTCTGAGTACAGCAGACACAAAGCAAGGAAGCAATTAAACATATTTTTGAAAAAAAACCCCAAACATTTCCATGGTAAATTACTTAATCAAGTTAGAGGTTGAAATAGGAGATTAAAATGTTTTATAAAAGGAAAGCAATCTTTTTATTTTCTTATTATAAGGAAATTAAAATATTATGGCAATAGATATATGTCCTGTCTTATGAGGCAAACACAATAAATTCAGAACCTACTAATAAATGAATCATATATGCCATATAAAAATTGTCGAACAATGACAGGAGAAAATAAATGCTTATTTTTATTCCTGTCAAAAGGATCTAAAACCTCTCTGCAACTGAGGGCTCTGTTGGCAGCTGGCCACCATCCCCTGGGTAGCACTGAATTCTCCTAAGATGGAGGAGATTTTGGCTACTTTAATTTGTTTTCTGGTGTGTCCAGCTGAGATTCCAGGCTCTAGGTATGTGATGATGCATCTTGACAAAGCTAATAATACATCATACTAAAATCCCTGTTATCTGCTTTTGTACATGATGGACTTTTGATGTCTTCGACTTACATAAATTCATTGGGATATTTCTGCTTAGATAAAGATTTTGCTTCCCTTGCTAGCTTTTGAGAATGAAAGCAATACCTTCTAAGCTGTTTAAAAAGCCAGCACCTTGAAAATTCAAGAGCGATTTACTGTATTTATGAAGCTTGATTTAAGAGGTACTATAATCCAGCAGAAAACAAAACCAAAATTAATTAAGACAGAAGAAAAAAGAATGGAAATTAAGGTTTATAATACTGAATTTGAAAGTGTTTTCATCCCTAGGTTAAACAGTTAAAAGAGTAGTTAAACAGTTAAAAGAGCATTTTCACTAAAGCCAGTTCTATAGCAGGAAATACTTTGTTCAGATACCTGGAATTCCTTCACTGCTTAACCTGAATAGTCAATCATCCCTGTACTACTCTATCTTACATAAAAGGGTGTAAATAAATCATTAAAACAAGAATGTGTTTGCATACCATTTTCTTTGTGGACAAAGGCTCCCTGAGGAGATTCTGGGATACCTTTCCAAATTGTGATTGGTTTGGGATAACCAGGATCCATGGATCTCATTTCTTCACTGTACCTCCAGTACCTGAAATATTTTTTAAAGAAACAAAAAAAAAGGTACATTTGTAAGATAGTAGATGAGTGACTTTACATTTACCCTCTCTAACATGTGCTACATTCATTAACCACAAGTGGAAATACTAGATTTCTTCTCTTTGAACATACATTACAAATAAATCTACTTACTGTTTCAAATAGATAGAAGATAAAATATTTTTGCACTTCAACAACTAAACCAGCATGCAGCTTAGTTAAAATCACCACAATTCTAATGCCTAGGGCTTTTGCACAGTGACACAAAGAAATGCAACACATGCAAAAACCAATGTATATTAATGCTTTTCGTAATATTGTAATAATGCAAGTGACAGTAGATTCAGATTAAAATACTGCCAGCAATCTTAATTTAACTCTTCATATATATGCATTACAGTAGATTTTAATTATATTTCAATATCCCTAAAATAGACGCAGTGTATTATAAAATTCAACCTGTTTGTGTGCCTTTTTGCCAGCCAGCCTTTCTCAAACTTAAAAAGCTTCAGCATGCAACTCTAGTAATCCTGAACATCTGAGAAGTATTTACACTTTTGATTTATTTACACTTAGAGATATTGGTAATTTCTTTTTCCTTTTACTGCTGATCCAATTGCTATGCATATCTTATAAGTTGGCTCTAAAAGTACAGCATCTCTAATATCCTCTGCATATCCCAATATTTTGGTGGATCATTTCATATTTTGATTTACTCCATTGATTTAGAACATAGTTTTATCACTATCATTGATAATCTGGTTACTGCTAAAAACTTGACCCTCTTTCTCATTTGAATTCATTTGACTTCAGTTTTTAGAAATCCTTGTTATGATCACTATATATTAAAAAACTGTTATATGGATGATATTTTTGTCACTGTGAAGGTACTTAGGCACTCTAATTGATTCACATTTTGATCTTTTTAGAAAAGTATAGTGGTCTAAACTCCACAGTATTTCTCCCTGTAGGGCATTTCGGTGGCTTTAAATTTTCAATGAAATTAAAATATAGCAGATTTCAAGTAGGTTAAGCATTGGCAAGTTAGATTAAAAAGACATTTGTATTTATTTTTTCTTTCTTATGCTTAAATTTTTTTTATAGCCTCAATTCTTAATCTAGTCACATATACATCAGCTACCAGCCAACACACAATGCTCTTTATTTGGATATGTAACATCTTTGAAAGTTTATATGCAGAAACAACATGTAGAAGTAGTAAACAAAGCGCTAACTTTAATACTATTGAAACCAGTTCTTCCTTATCTTTAAACTCTAAGTTTCTTGGTCTTTAGTTTGCATTTTTTAAAAGAAATATTCTTTTTCTTTTAAAAAAATTTTCTTTTTCTCTCCCTCTATTCCAGAACTCTGTTTGCGGCTTCCATAATTTCTCTCCTTTTCCTTTTTCTCTTCCAATCTTTCCATCTTTTTGAGCTCCTTCTTTTAATAATCTCTGATTTCCCACTAGGCTTAAATGACTTTCAAAGCATACTTTGTCATTAAAAGTCTTTGAGGACATAGTGCACACTCTGAAATCACAAAACTTCTGGATTTTCATCATTGATGAGAATGATTAGGGATCCTTCCCTACTAGGGAAGGACTGATCACGACACCACCTCAACAATTTGTGCTGGAATAATGAACATGTCTACAGGGTAAGGAAAAGCCTAGTCTTGATTCTATTTGGCATGCCAAATGCTCACAAGCAAACTCCCTAATGACGGTTTGAGCTCTACAACCTATGTAAACTTGTTGCTGTATCTCAAAGACTGATAAATAACAGAGGGGAAAAAAAATCTAAAAAATCTTCATAGCTTTAGAAAAAGGGAATTTGGAAAATATTTGCTAAACTATGTCCTATATCTAAGCCTATTTACTTAATGATATCCTGAGCCACTGAATTATTAAGTTTTATGAAGAAAAGACATTGATTTAAACTCTAAAATGCATAAAAAGGTTGGACCAGATAGAGGAGTAAACAAGGACATGTGTCAAGAATTCATCAAACCTATTATTTTCTATTCCCAAATTACTCAGTTATCATAGGATAGGAATAACAGAAGGACTAATGTTTTCCGTAGCAAATTTTTTCCCCTTTATGTGTTTCATGCAATTTTTTAGAAGAATTATCATGAATGTTGAAATAGATAATGTCAAATTACAACAATAATGTTCCATACATGAGCTTTAGACATACGACTGTTTACTGGTTCAAATTTTAACCTTCTTACTGGTTTAGTTAATGGGATTTTCTTTTTTTTTTTTGTTTGGTCAATTTTATTATTAATTTTATTTTATAGCCAATATTTGATGTCATAAGCAATGTACATTGAGAAACTTACTGTTATAAGGGTTTATTCCCACTGATGGCCAATATGGCCAATATCCTATAATGGCTCAATTATCTCTGCAAGGTTCAGGTTCAATCTTCTTCTAACATACTCTATTGCATTTATATCCTGCTGAGTTTCATTGTTCTTGTTAGCTCTAAGTAGCAACTTTTCTGCCAGCACCTGTTTTCTCTGCCAGTTCTTTTTGTCTTCTGTTATTACCAATCATGTTTTAGGAAAGTCCTGAATATAAGTAACTGCCTATGCATGGTACTATAAAAGGACATAATATTGCTGAATAAAGCTTAAAGGAAGTAAAAGTCACAAAATATTCCTACTGTAAATCTTTTTACAATATGTATGTGGAGGTGGATAATTATTACCTGAAAAAGAATTTGAATTTTTAAAAAAGATCTACTCAACCACAGAAAGCAAATTATCTAGGCATCTTCTACTCACTATGAAAATCAATTGCTTGAAATGATACCTGTTTTAAAACATTACAAAAATTTGACTTAGTTATCTACTTCACCATTAGTATTGGAGAGCTATCTTTTTTTTAATAATAAAAAGAGCTTTAACCATAAAATTTGTTGCAGCATTCTGTAGTGTAATTTTTACAGTAGTGCTAAAGAATTACAAACTATACTGTCCTAAACATATTCTCTGATGTGCATTAAATTGATTCTTAAGTGATCCATGAACACTATTAGTGTCTGAGAACACGAAGTACCACACAGTAACAAAAGCAGTCACAGCTTTTGTGATAATAAGACTAATAGAAATATTACCATTATTAATAAGGAATAATTTGTCTCTGAGCACACAAAATTTGCACAGCAATACATCAATCACCAAACAGAGTACCATACTGAAAAACTGTAAAATCCATCATTCAGACAACTCGCAGTGTTTCAAATATTAATGAATTCTCCTGATGTCTCTATAAAGCAGACAAATATACCTTTATTTTTTTTTTTTTATTTACAGGTAAATAGAGACATTAAGTGACTAGTACAAGTATGTCAGGAATGGAAAAACCATTGAATTTCATGGGTTTTTTTTAATGTGCCTGTCCTTTTTTTTTTTGGGGGGGGGGGGGTGTTGTTTTTTTTTTTGGGGCGGGGGGGGTTGTGTTGTTTTTTTTTTAGTTATTATTATTAATCATAGATATCTGTCCCTATGACATTTATTTAGAAGTAATTCCAAGAAAATGCTCAAATTCTTCTCTAGCTCCCAGGTTTAGCACTGAGTTCCCTTTTTTACCTCATTATCAAATAGTAGCAAAGTCATTTTCACTGACCTTAAAAGCTTTGGTTCATGCCTTGCCTGCTTATGTTCTGGGGTTTAGAAATGGGGATAAAAAGAAAGATGTAAGAGTGTACATAAACAAATCACTTTAAATATTTAAGTTTAAATTTGCCACAGCTGTGACTAGCCTGTTGACTTCTAAAACATAACTTTTCTACTGGATATACTTATACCCATTCCAAGATATTCACAAAAATATAATTTAGGTTATAAAACATGTGAAAACAGTACAGCCATCTATGCAGGAGGGCTAAATTCCATTCTTTTGAGAAACAGAGGAAAAGGCCAACATGTTTAGCTGGTATCCCCTGAATTGTTCCCTTGCAGAAATCCTGTACCAACCTATCTCCTTTGAAGAAGTAGGTTTTTCCAACATCTTCCCACCAAATTGCTGAATCAATGCCGTGGGAAGGAATTCCACTTCCAAGTGTTATCAAATCATGAGGATAACCGGGCTGGAGAGTAGTGTCCTTGAAAACCCAGAACTTGTTACCTGTACAAAAGCATATATATACACACATATATGTGTATTAGTCTTCAGTACTGTTGGTAGAAATATTAATACACTCTTGAGAAATAAGACTCCCAAAGGTTTATAGTAGTTGTTCTTCCAAATACAATGAAATGAAAAATGTTCCACCTCTGCAGACAATGCAAAATTAAATATGCCTTATGGATATCTTGCATTTATAAAGCACCTTTCTTCAAATAAGTCCACAGAATATTTTAATACCAACTATGCAGTGATCAAAAGTAGAGTGAAAATTAAATCACCTTAAGAGACTCTGTGGTTGATAATGTAATACATTTACAGAAAAACTACGCAGCAGTTTTACATTTCATGAGGAAAGAAAGAATTTGATAAGAAAAAAAGGTAAGAAATACAAAAAAAATAGCAATGACAATTTTCATAGAGACCAAATACTTTTATTACTCTGTATTTCTCCTCAAGAAGTTAAATTACTTATGAAAGATGTATGATTATTTCAGAAATAACCATAGAATTTAATATTTAAACGTCTTTTCTTTTAGGGCATCCTAAAAACAGCAAACTGAGAATCTGAATCCCTTTTGTTGCTGAAAGTAATGGTGGATTGCCAGTGGCAGTAAGACTTAAGCTTTGTCAGTAGGTGACAAATCATTCAAAAGCCCCCAGCTGACTTATTAAGTGCTGAAAATACAAGGTAGGTGTACGACTCCAGAAGATGTTACCACAGTATCTGCACAAACCTCAGATTACCCAGGTTACTCAGGTCACTGTCTTAAATATGAATGACAGCCCAGGGCTTCCTGGACTGCAGTGCTGAGTGGATGAAACCCCTACTGCTAGAGGGGTAACTGCAGTTAGTAGATAAATATTTTGTGTACAGAGGGATCCACGCCTATGGAAGTAGCAGCTGCACCAGTGTTTTATAGTCGAGATGCCCCCCTGTTTGTGGGAGAGGATGCTTCCTGTGCTCTCTCTTCTAGCTGGATGGTCTACCTCAACAGCCCACAACTCCAGTTTCCAAGATTGAGTCTTTCCTCTAGCTTCCTGGACAAGTTCTTCTTCACTGAATACTTCCACGATTATCTCACCTACTTCACCATCTCATATTAAACCTACAGTCCAATATTTCCCCGATAATTTTGTTGTCCTCCGAGGGACTTCTCAACATACTATCCCAACTGTCTTATTTTTGCAACTATCTTCTCCTTTTTACATTTCTGCTTTTTTCTAATTCTTCAAAACTCACTTCTCACCTGTGTGTTTTTAGCAGAGACTTCTCTTTCAAACCCAGCTTTGTCTGAAAAAAGGGAATAAAGAACCCCATATGCTCCCTAGAAATAGGAAAGGGCAACATAATTTGCATTTATGTACTTATATGATGAGCTTGCTTGGATGTCCATCTTCTCTCTGTGTTCTGTCCCCTAGACCACAAGGACACTCCTCTCAGGCTAGACTATAGGCTCCATTGTGAAAGAACCATGTGTTTATTCTCTCTTCAAAGCACTACCATCATCATTTTTTCCAAAAAGCATTGCTAGTTTTAGTAATAATGACACTGAAGGAGAAGATACTTTTTGACATCACACAGGCACTTTGAGCTAAATCACAAAAAAATCTTCTTCACTTTGGTCTATTCATTGCTATGCATGACAATGATATTTAAAATATAAGGGGAAAAGTTTGAAAACAAATTTTGTTCAAACACATTTGGAAAGCGGATGTAAGAGATAAAATCATGGCTGTTCACATTAGTTTTTGTACTTACCTTTAAGGCTAGACAGGTTGTTATACAGATTTAGGAGGTTAAGGTACTGTGCTGTATAAATATTTTATAAGGAAATGTAATATTACCCCAAAGACCTAGGATCAGATGTATGCCAGAATCATCAAGAGGGAAAATCCAGAGAGCTGTTTTGCAGTTGGTTTTATATTTTAGCTATCCCTCTGTGATATTAAATATTTGTTTAAAGGAAAGGGGGTTTTTGATCTCCCTGTTTGTACTGTGGTAAATTAAAGCATGTTTTCATTTTATCAGAGTTTTAATTAGGAGAGGGGGTATAGTTTCCATCCCTCCCATGCTGGGTTTCCAGGGTTAATTTTTTATCAGCTTCTTTACAGCTGCTCATCACCCACTTTCAAGCACAGAGACTACAGTTTGCCCAACAGATCCATTTTCTCTCCCCTGCCAGCTGAAGGAAAGAAAGGACTCAAAGAATGAGTATGTACAGAGACATTTTAAGTAGTGTAAATGAAAGAGACACAGAGATCTATGAAGTGCAGTCAAGGAAAGCTGAGTTCTCTGTTGACCTGGGATTAAGGTCATTGATAACCTGAGGTTTATCTTTACTGAGATACCTTATAAAAACTCATTTATAGCATTTAATAATGACAGAGGTGACCTGTCATATTTTCTGGAAAAATCTCTTTGCCCAGGATTCTTCTGCTGGGAAGCTGAGAAGCCTCTGAGAAAAATGAAAAAAATAATTATCTGATTTGCTTCTCCTGTGTCTTGTTGCTTTGGAATGTGTTTGGACATTGTTTACCAACAGCTGGTTGTTTCATTGGTTTCATGTGAATTGTTTTGACTTAATGACCAATCATGCTCAAGCTGTGTCAGACTCTGGAGAAAGAGTAAGGAGTTTTCATTAGTATCTTTTAACCTTCTGTCTGTATCCTTTCTGTATTCCTTAGTATAGTTTAGTATATTATTCTTTTATATAATATAGTATCATAAAATAATAATTTAGCCTTCTAAGAACATGGAGTCAGATTCATCATTCCTTCCAATGTCAGGGCACCCTGCAAATACAAGAGTGAGCATCTTCAATCATTCTGTATCCTTCCTCCCATGTGGTTTATTTTTGCCAATTCATACGACTGGACACAGAAGGCTTCAGATGTTAATGGCAGTTTCAAATGCAATGATAAGAGAAGTCATGCGTTTTGGACCTTACTAGTTGGTACTTATGGTGTGAACAACAGATGGCATCCAGTGAGTGATCCTGGGCCAGCTCGTTTCTGTTTCAGAAGATCATTCAAAATGACAGCTGTTGCACAGCATTGAGAGGCATATGCTGTGATGTATGTAATGCCAATACTTTTCTCTGTGCCTCACAAGGAATAAAAGTCAAAGCAATTGTTATGAATAGATCGTTATCAGCCATACCCAAGGAGGCAAAGTTAACTATCAACAAGATCAGGTCATACCAAAATAAACAATGGTTATGCACAAGCCATTTTAAATGACAGCACCACTGAGCCATGTATTTTTTCCATATTCATAGATACTGAAGTAAAAGGAAAGTGTAGATGTGAGAACAGGCATAAGAAACTGAATTCTTCAAACAATTTCTTACTAAGAAGCTAATTCTTTCTTAGAAAACAGAGAAAAGGTAAATTTCTCTGTATTCTGCAGAGATGGGAGGACTGAGATCTCTAACATATGTGAGCAAAGCCTATTGATGCTAACTAGCAGGAATTTTATTTAACATTTGCTTTAGAAGACATGTTTAGTCTGCTATAACTGTGCTGGTTGTTAATGAGAAATACTGTATATAAGAAATCCAAATGTTCCATCTGGCTGGCAGCTTTCACTTTGGGTTTTTTTTTGTTTTGTTTTGTTTATTTTTTTTTTTTTTGTTTATTTGGTTTTTTTAGGAGGTTTTAGGAGGTCTTGTTTTGGATTTTTTTTTCTGTCTCTCACCTGGAGGAAATTGGGTGTCTATTGATCAGAGAATTGATCTGATCAACAGAATTTGATCAGAAAGCAATGTTAGGAAAATTTAAAGCTGAAAATCAGGGCAAAAGATGCCCAACTGTGATGAGAATGAGATAATTTTATTTCTAACATATTTATGAAACTTTAAACGTAGTACAAACTAATGCTAAAGTCAATATTCTTTCATGTAGCTTATATTCCACTTCCACTAACAGTCAATAAAACTTCATTAATTGTGATCATAATGCAAAGAACTATGACAAAATTGGTAATATTTTTATTCTTCTTAAGATAACTAATGCTTCTTTGGAGTCAAAATCTGTGCCCTCAGCAGAAACCACCACAGTGTTTATTTTGAAAAGTTGTTTTTTTAAGGTCTCATTGGTAGGTTTGTTATTTTTCACAGAGAATAAAGCACCACATGTTTCATGAAGTCTGAAATTTCAGAATGTTTGATCTCTCTGCTTTTATTCCTTAATGTAAGGTCTAACATAATAAGAAGCAGATTGCCAAGGTCAGAAGCTGAGAGTGAAGCAAGTGATAAAAAAAACTAAAATGTCTTATTTCTTGAAATAATGCTTTGTTAAGTATCATCACTGTAGGGAAACAGCTGAGAAGGATGAACGATGGAATTATTTGAAGTCTCTCAAATTCATTCTTTGACATTCTAAAAAAAGTACTGGAAATAAAGGGCATCTGTATTGCTACGCTTAACTTAAAATTACAACATTCTAGATCTTCTTTAGACTGTTTAACTTCCTACTGACTACTGCCAACAAATATGCAGTTTTTAGCAACTAGTTCTTCCTTTATAGAATCTAAATTCTGAATAATTGTGCTTCTGGGTTTTTTGCCCATATTAATTGAAATTATGGTATATATGTAGTGCAAGAAGTGTGTGGCATATCATCACTGTGGTAGAGTGGTGACATGAATTTCCAAATTTTTAAACAATTACATGTAATTTAAATCAGTTAAAAAAATAACATCTAATCATGAATGTTGGTTTATTCCAGACAACATTCCTTTTAATTTCAGTCTTTCAAGCCTGTATCTAGTCTTTTTCTAGAATCCTAAAATTACTATTCATGGTTCTTTTTTCCCCATTCTGTGTTTCCCACATCAAGTTTCTGTCATTTCTCCATTCCATGATTTGACACTATAGTAAATCTATTTTTCAATATAAAACTGTCAGGCCATGGGGTAAGTGCAGTAGAATGTTATGATGGAGGCACTGGTAGTATGACTTTTACAGCAGCCTTTATATTGCTACATTTGGGTTACCATAACATTCAACAGCGCAGATGGCTTGCCAATTTAATTTTTAGCACTATATAAATTCCCAAAGGTACACAGAATGAATTTTACTATTCATGTTTTCTCATTAAAAGAAAGAAAAAGGTATCTTTCTGATGCCATCTTATTATCATTCAGCATGGACACTGGTAATGAATAATAACAAGAATTCAAACATCTGTTTTTTATAAGCAGCTATCCACCAGATTGCTCTGTAGTTTATGAGTATGATCTGGTCTACTGGGGTCTGATGAGTCCATCTGGCAGGGAACAGCAAGAGCATCTTGGTCATAGGCTTGCCAAGCTGGTAAAGAAGGATTTTAACTAAAGTTGCTGGTGGAGGAAGAATCTCAATCCATCCCACTCGTACCAGTTTGATGCCAGTGCCAGCAAGAGATGTCCAGAGCCTGGTGAGAGATCACAGGTCAGCAGGAGAGCACCTGAACCAGCACAAAGGAATTCCAGACACTCCAGAGAGTAAGTTGGTTTCACTGGGGCCTCCAAATTAAATGCCTCTATTGGAAACACACATATTATCCAGAACAACAACAGGAGTTGGGGATGTGCTTGGAAATTTGTGCTCACCTGCAGGGCTGTGATCTTACCGGCATCACAGAGACATGGTGGGATGCTTCTACAAATGAATGTCAGAATGGAAGGCTACTGGCTCTTTACAAAGGATGGGCAGGGAAGAGGGCATGGGGGTGTTGCTCTCTGTGTCAATGACCTGCTGGCATGCATGGAGCTCTGCTGGGATGGATGAGGAACTTGTCACAGAATCTAGGTTGTAACAAGCTAGGTTGTAAAAGATCATCAAATTCAACATATGACCTAACACCACCTTATCAACTAAACCATGGCCACATCCAGTCTTTTATTAAGCAGCTCCAGGGACAGTGACTACACCACCTCCCTGGGCAGCCCGTTCCAGTGGCCATCTACTCTTTCTGTGAGCATTTTTTTTCCCTAATGTCTAGCCTGTATATTTGTAGTATATTATGGGTCAGCACTAAAGGAAGGGCAGGTAAAGGTGACGTTATAATGTGGGTCAGAGGAGTGCATAAAGACATTAAACCAGTACAAGTTCTCTGTTGGCACTTAACCCATCTTTTCTATTTTATTGTCTGAATAACAGATGTAGACATTGGCTTAGGTATGTGCTTTGTTAACACATCTGTATGCTAGACTCCAGATTCAAAGCTCCTTCTAGAACTTACTTGTTTGGACCAATTTTAGACTGGTAAAGCACACTACCTGGATAAGACATTCTACTTGCTTATCATCTTAGCAGAAATCAGCTTGTCTATTTCTAGCACCTTTTGGAGGAGGACATGTACTCTTTTCCCAGGAAATTTTGTGATGGAATAGAAGAAACGAGACAATGATCATTTACCTACAGTCTATTTATATAGATTTCTGTAATCATGTTCCACAAGGTACTTGAGATCCTTGGAACAGGAATTTTCAAGGACACCCACACAGAAGACAGCTGAAATTTTTGATTCTGTAGCAGTGGAAAAACATAAATTACACTGATAGAAAACACAAACAGTTAGATATTAAGAGTCATAAGGACATGGCAGAGAAGCAAAAAAATATTTTTTAAAATTGCACAAGGAAATACAAAGATTTTTGACCTTGGCAAATAGAGGGATAATACAAATATAATTGGAAAAATAATGGAAGGAACTTTGAAAAGAAGTCATATGGAAAAAAAACCAAAAAACAACCCTACAGCAGAATATCCAAATATCATATGAGATCATCTAGAAGGCACAAAACTAACTGTTCTGAAATCAGATAGCATAAGGTAGGGATGATGTGAAAGGAGAACACAATTCTGATCTCTAAAAGCACAATCCTGCTGTTCCTGGTTGCTTTAATTAATCTTGACTTAATTTCCCAGAGAAAAAAATAGAGAAGTTTCCTCCTCCTTCTGTTGTTTGTTATCTGTAACCCACAGACTACAGGATCAACCTAAGACCTAACAAGAGCCAGTCAGAAGGGGGTGAAGAGTTAATAATGATGAAACATATTTCAAGGTCATTGGGAAGGAAAAGAAGCAGCTATAACAATAAGCTTGATCATTTCTGTCTGGAGCTCAGATAATGGATCCCAGCATTATCAAGGCAGAAGTCTGGAATGCCCAGGGTAGCTACTTTGCTCTCTGTAGAAGTGGTGCAAAGGAATAGCTACAGAATAATATTTTTATCCTTCCATGTCTTACAGACCTAAAAATCAAGCAGTGGGATGGAGAGTTGGAGATACCTTGATTTTGATTCCCAACCATATAAACTTTCCAGAGTTAATGACTTGAAGTTTATTTTATGGCAACAGAAGTAAAAGCATTTGCTGTATTGAAATAGAAACTGCACTACATGTAATATCATTTTCCTTGTGATTCACACAAAAAATACAATTTCACTTTTAGCAAAACATAAACTTCTTTGTACTGTTATGAAATGTTTCTGCATGTTATTAAATATGTTTTATTTAACATTCCCAAGATCCTGTTTCTGGAGTGAATAAAATATTCTAACTCCCTGATAATGACTTCACTTGTAAAAATGAATTTTTTTTAATATAACAACTTTAAAAAATCTACCTTTTTTGTAGTGAGTTAAAAAAAATAATCACTCACAACACTAAATAGCTGAATATTTTTTTCATGTATTTGTTATCTATTCAGTTTCTTCTTCTCTCAAATGATTATTTTATAAAACATACTTTACATAATTTGATTATTTTGTTACTAAATATGGATTTGTTAAACATATAACTTTATCATCAAATCTAAATAAAGTGCATGTTCAAGAATTTTAATTTTGAAGAACAGCTGATGTCTGGAATGAAATTTAAAAAGAATTTTTAGCAACAATTTGATCTAAATCACCTATTTTCTGGAGTTTATGCTCCTTTAAAAACACTAAATACACATCTATGAAAAAGATTATTTTTCCCTACATGAAACTCTTAACATCACAGGTATTAGATGAAATAAATACAATGCAATACAGTGAGCTATATATAGCAGAGGTGCCATTTAAATATATAAGAAATTAATTTGTAAAAACGAAGAGCAGAGAACTACACAAAAATTAATAATGCGAATGTGTTCATTGTGTCTTCCCAAAATATATTTTAAAAAATTATTTCATAGTAGATCACTTCATTTCTATGTCTTATATTTATACTTTCAAATTTTTATTGAATATGTAAGAGCAAATGACCTGATACTGTGATATAATAAATTAATGTCATTAATTATGTAATTATGTAATTATGATTACATAATCATAAATTAAATATGTAATTGCCAAACACGAAAATGTTAACTTATATACTCTTCATTTAGCTACCAATTTGCAATAAGATTTACAAATCATTAGTAAAAATAAACAAGATGTGTTTCAAGAAATCATCACACTCAAAAGCGTTACACAAAATCTTACTTTTGCTCTTTCTTACCTTTAAAGAAGACAAAGTTCCCCTCACTGTTTTCGTAAACTGCATCAATGCTGGGAGGCAGTCCCCTCCAGAAGTAGGTAATCTGCATGGGGTATCCATCCATCACCCTGTTGTTCCTGACTCGCCAAAACCACTGATCCTGGAAACCAAGCATACACTTCTTATTACATTTATATGTATTCATCTGCTGTCTTGAAAATACTGAACAGCCTATCGTGGCATTTTTAAAGCAGACCTTCTGCTGAGTGGATAAGCACATTGTGTTTGCATTTGCCTTGCATTACAAATGTTTCAGAACTGGTTTTTGCTGAGGTGGGGATAAGCTACACACGAACCAGGTGTTTGGAGCAGACAGCCCTTGGCAGAACATACAGCATTGTATGAGATGATGTAGCTCTCCCAAGTTCATTCTTATAATTTAAAATTTGTGGTCTGACTACAAGTGCTTTTAGACTGAACCATATGCCCAAAATAATGGGACTACATACAGACTTTGAAGACCAATTAATTTTGCATGTCATTCTTATGCAGTGGCTGCTAACAGTGAAAGGTTGATAGATATATGTGTAAAATTACTACATCAGTCCAGTAGGAACTGTGTTTTGATGACAATTTTAATGTAGTGAAGTTTAACAGTCTTTCCAAGTGACATTAAATAGAATGGTTAATATTACAGCCATATATATATACATATATATATATATATATATATATACACACATATATATATAATTGGTGCTAAATCCACCTAATCCAATACGTGGCACATTAAATGGGTATCAATAAAAATATTATCACTGTACTGCTTCAGAACTGTTTCATTTAAAGATGAAGGATAGAGTAAGTATTTAACTTCTTACATACATTTGAACATTTTTCAGCATTAGTATTATGTAAAACAGCCCCCTTTAACAATAAAGGAAGTGATGTTCTGCTAGAATCTGTCACAGTTTACATGGCAGTTCTTCCTCTGTGTAAGGAATACAGATTTCACAAACAAAACCTGCAACAAAACCTGTAAAATCATCAACTCAACAAATATCTTCTTGGAAATGGATTATGTTTCAGACCTAGTTATTTTTGGAGTATGCTTGCATTATTTTATTTTGATAGCAAGACCAATAAACTTATATTTTTCAGATTTGGTATTGAGTTGTACGTAAACTGCATTTCATACTTCATATTGTTGACTTGCAGTATAATAGTTAGCATATTCTTATCTATTTTTTGTTCAAATTCCTTAGCAAACCAATAATTTTCCTGCTATACTATGAAAATCTTAACAATAATACAATTATGGCAAAACTGTAATGTTTGTTTCATTCAGCATATCCCCATGATTTTTTTAAAAAAATCTGTTTATATGTATACATAGATGTATATGGGTCATTTGCTTTAATGTTGAAATATTCCATTCAGAAGCATAATTGTGAATATCAGATGCAGTGTTCTCTCTTCTGCTGATGGAATCTTGCAGACTTCTTATTTTCCTCATATATTTTCAGCATGTGTACCTGTCCTTGCAATAACCATGGGCAATGGGGTATAGCTCATCAGTAAGGATCCTACAGGTTTCCACAAAACTAACATTTTGAGATTTTATAATTTTAGCATTTTTATGGTCTTATTTAAACAGACAAAGGCTGGCATATGATTTGTCAATAGATATCATTTCAGGGAATCAGCAAATGGAAATGTCTGAGGTCAGAACTGCAAGTTTGGACCATATATAAGATTGTGGAAAGTAGGTGTTTCCAGAGGCTGATATAATAATTTGTTTATGTAAATTTAATTTTCCTGGGTGACTTTCCTATGAACATGCTGCACTCAATGGTTTTAGACTGACAGAATTTAAACTCTGTAACTCAAGAAATGCAGCATGTACCTGTAAAGTATGCCAAGGACCTTTCTGAAGCATTAGATGAGATAGGCTCTGCTTATGGAAAGAATGCTTCATTTCAGCACATATATTAAATGTAATTAGTTTATCTTAAACAAAGTTATATTTACCAGCAATTTTATCATCTGCATTTTGATGTACATTTAATGAAAGTATTTTTGGACAAGAGTTTAGCTATTATTGAAATTCAAAAGAGGCATAGTCCAAGACAAAGCATATTCACTATAATAAAGCTCTTTCACACTTTAAGCAAATAGCTTGAAACAGTTTCTCTGGCAAAACACTCCTCACTGTATTTGTTTATGTTGAATAAACACAGTTTTGTCTCTTTTGAGAAATGGTGTTTATTGAGAATCCCTTTGCCCTTCCTGCTATGTTAGTTAAATACACTTTTTTATTATTTTGTTTCCCCAAAACACATTAACTACAGAAAACAGGTTGAACTTGTCACACACAGTCCAATGCAAAGCCTGACAAATGCTATACACTGAATGCATAGATTTTAGTCTTTCTTTGCTGGCAAGCAAATACCTCTTTGTTAGCATCTCTAGATACTCAATTGCTTCAAAAATATGGATCACTCCTGTGCAGCTGAGATCTGGCATAATAATGCATCATTAAATATTATGACTATGGATATATCAAATAAATTAAGCTTGGGCAATTATTCCCAGTTCAAAAGCAAAGCTGAAACAAACAAAAATCAACACTTAATTAAGATAGAGCAATATATCTAAACCCCAGAAAATGGTCATTGAGTGAGAAGAGATTGTAAGATGTTTCAGAAACACTATGATTGATAACGAGTAATAGTCTAATGAAGAAGCAGTAGCAGTCACTCAAATTGAATGTTTTGACATTTTAGTTAGAAGATGGGATATTTCTGAGAAAAAAAAAAGAAAATGAAGCTTTTTAGAGAAAAAAAAAAACAACTAAACAAAGGTCATACATAAATCATTCTGCACTGTCAGTAAATGTTTCATGTATTTTTTTCTGGTGCATTTAAAGGGACTAAAATATAGTATATCATGTATGATCATAGCATATAGCTCCCTCATAAAAACACTTCTTTTTTAGGTCAGAGAATTTTAAATGAAAGAGAATATTAGAGTAAAAAAAAACTCTGGCTATTAATGCATAATTTTCATACTTTGTTAGTAGATACAGTCTTCTCCCAATCTTAGAAGGTACCTTTTTAGTGATGATTTGTTAAATTGTTCTTTATGTTTCATTCAATGAATGTTTAAATATTTACTCCTATGAATAATTAATTTCTATTTCAGTATTTATTAGCAACTTAAATATATTTCAGATTCCTTAAGGGACACAACTGATGTGTATGAGAATTAAAAAAAATATCCAGGTATTTTGGTTTATCCATAATATACAAACTAGTAGAGCCTTTAGTGCAAAATTAATGGACCTTTTTGTCTATAGCACCTCATTTTCTCTTATGTCTCTGGACCAACAACCATTGTCAATGTTAAAACATTTATTTGTTACAAAATGTCTAGAGCTCTCACCTTTATTTTATACCTAATGAACTCTATCTACAATTCTGTAATGACATGTGACATTCTCACTCAAGGTCGAATAATACCGAGTAAAAAAAGAAAGACTGCCCAATGTGATAGACATTATAAGAAACTTACAACAAGCTACAAAGAAGGAAAAAAATCAGAAATCTTTGAACTGTACCTTTTTTAACTACTTGGAAATGAAGGCAGGAGAAGATTTTAGGCAGACAGAGAGGTGCAAAACAAGGCCAAAATGCAACTGTATGCAAAATTATATTATTTTGACTATGATTATAAAAATGTGTGTGAACCCCCAGTAATATTTGAAATATCTTTTCACTGTAGAGCAAAAATCTCTGTGTATTTCTGCCTGACTTGATGTCTAAGTGTATATATATGGTGCTGTTAAAAGTATTACCCTAATAGGATGGAATGAGATGCAAAATAGCTATAACTGATAGGGAGAGGAGTTTTACTATTTCTATATTCCACAGGATAACTGGCTTATTTAATTTGAAAAAAAAACCCCAAATAAGCATAATACTTCTGCCCTAAATAAATGTCAATCAAATCAAATACTAAATTTCAACCAGTACTCTAGTTTAATATTATTGGCAAAATACATCAAAGTGTCACATTGGGTCTTGTGTTCTCCCACAAGCATACTCTGATCATGTGAAAAGGCAAGCCTCTGTCAATGGAAGATTAAACATACCCAGGAGTTAAGCAAAACTGCAGCAACAGACTGACACAGTCAGACAAATGAGCAGCCCTCTACTTTTGTTCATCTAAGTATTGCAGGAAAAAAAAAAAGCCAGTGGCAAATACGAAGATATTTTACAACTTTAACGTCTTCTTTTTGAGAAAAGGAAGAGTTGTGGTTATATACAGAGAAGTTGGCCAAAGGACAAAGCCTGCAGAAACAACATTCCAAGACTGTGATCAAGGAGACAAAAAGTTCCCCTACTATACATCTTTATGGGATATTAAGAAACTGAATTTGGGAAATGAAAGGTACAGTTATTTTATCTGAACCAAAATAAATCTGGAATACCCTTTTAAAAGTCTTGATCTAATCTCAAAACGCACTTTTCCACATCTACTTCATCAGGTTGTGAATTTCATCAGGGAATCTCAATGCTGGCAATAACAGCCCTGTGGCATGTGGAATTAAAGACTTTGTGCCTACTTATTTGGGGAATTCCACTATTTATTTAGTAGTATCTCTTTTCAACATTCTGACTTTGGTATCTATAGCATTTAAGGCAAAGGAAATTATTGCACAAATTAGGGGAAAAACAAAACAAAATAAACCAAAAATTTTTGAGCAAATTTCTGGGAAATAATTTTAATGGAGCAGAAAATACAAGATACAGTTCAGGGGATTTAAAGGAAGAAAAAATTATCAGCACAATTCACCTAAGAGAAGGATTCTGAATTTATTTTTCTTTTCTGTTTTGCTTTTTTTCCCTCAATATAGAATTTGCAATGAAATTAATAGACTAGGCTTACTTCAGTTCATACTTAATCCCATAGTAGAAAACAATTGGCTCTATTGAGACCAGAATCAGACAGTAAATAGATGCTACCAATCTATCTCATTTTAGGAAACAATTAACTAAATGTACTATTTATACACATACAGCTCAGCTCATTATGAAGCTGGTTCATATTAAGAACAAACAAAGCTCCTTTAAAATTACAAAGGACTTTATCTGTTCA